CAATTTTGCTTTTCTCTTAACCTTGCAAAAAAGGAAGCCTGTCTCAAACAATTGCAAAAATATCTCAAATTTTCCAAGAAACTTTGATCCAAAAGATCCATAGGAAATACAAATTTTTGCTCAACTGTCGAGTCAAAAAAATTTTCGAAACAGAAGCTACTGTGTTTAAATGAATGAATTTGAAACCTCAGCTGCGTATTGGATTCGTTTAAACAAGAAATCGCGGAAGAAAAGCGAAACATCAAAGAGCTGGTCCTTTACAACACTGCCTCTGCTTAACAACGCCTGCACTGCATAGTTTGCTCTAAAAATTGAACGGAGATTACGAACAATAATGCAGCAATACTATCGAATATAACACAAAATATTAAAAGTCCGGCAGCAAATATCAAATAAATAGCAACGCGCACCAGACTAGCCCGTGCGATCATACGTTTTGTGTAATTCAGGACATCGAACGATTGCCAATTAATGATTTTAACTGCTTTGTACTTTTGTCTATGCAAAAATAGTTGAAACACACAGTTAAAAATTTCACGCACCAGCGCATGAAAGCTGAATTCGAAACCTTGAAGGGTGAATATCTTCCGTGATTCCTGAGTTAATAGTTTAACCGCCAAAATTCCCACGAGGACGTAGGTGAAACTCAACAGCGAGGGGACGCTGAATTTGAATAGAAAGTTGCGGACAAGTTGCTGCGAACACACATACAAACACATACACACAGACAATCCCGTGACAATATGCGTTTTGTATTGCTGTTACACAGCACAAAACGCACAACAAATGACGTCGCGCACCGGAGTAGCTGGTGCGATCATACGTTTTGTGCAATTCTGTCCAGGGAATGCTTGTACAGTTCTGCCCGGCGGAGCTTTTGCAAACCCGTCCAGCTGTTGCTTGTGCCACTCTGTTCAGAGGAAATCTGCTGCTAAAAGTAATCGTGAAGCGCCCCCGTTTAGCAATACGACATTTCTTTTGTGAGTATTGCAAAACGATCGAATTTTATGTATATATGCCTTGTTTCATACATAAATGTACTGAAAAACCACACCGAAGAGACAGTAAGCTTATCAACAAGGCGCTAATTCACACAAATATTTGTAGTTTTCTGTTTTATTCAGCTTTTATGCGTTTTTCGCAAACATGCAAATGTAAAACTGCATGTTGTAACGAACAATGATGTGTGTGTGTGTGTGTGTGTGTGTGTGTACGCCTGTCTGGGTATTTCAACTCGGCAATCAAGCAAGCTTCGGAGGCCGAAATTTTGTTAATGGGTTGCCTGGCCAAGTGCCACTCCAGGACCGTGGTGCCAACCTTTACGCAAGTCTGAGCCCCGCACACGAACAGGTGAAAGTTTTGGTGGGAAAATTGTTAACTCGGAAACCAGAGAAGCTGGACGAGTGAAAGTATAAAGGGATTATCCCCGTCCAAGTATAAAGTAATGATTTCAAATTCAGCTCCCAGTTATGCGCGGTTCTCACGAGTAAGTGGAAGTTTCTGCAAGGAAATTACTAACTCGAGAACCAGAAAAGCTACAAAGTTAAAATTTTAGGGGAATGTGCCCTGTACAAGTACAGCCTAAAAACTTCAAAGTTGGTCGCCAGGTATGCATGGTTCTCACGTACGGGCACTTAAAAGTTTTGACAGTAAAACTGTTTACCGGACACCCAAGCCATTTTCAAAAACCAACATTAAATGGAAATTGCTCATTTTCCTTTATGCAAAATTTACGATGTTTTATGTTGGTGAGCACAAAAGTAAGTGTAAAGAAGCTACCATGCATACAATCAATGACCGGTTTGTTTCAAGTTTAGTGCAAAAACGCATGACCGCACCAGTAAGTCTGGAGCATTTCATCCTAGAGTTTAATTTCTTATCCCGAAGCTTTTACTTCACAGAAAAAAGAAGGCAGTACTCTCTTTACATTCCGCAGTTCATCCTCAATCTGTTCACCCAAGTACAAGTTCAAAACTGGCCCGCAAGCTTAAAATTTTAGAAGGATTTAACTAGTGCGCGTACTAATGTATTTATTCACTGAAAGCTCACAACACTATTCCCAAAAAGGCATTATTGTTTATTCTGAAATTTTATCAGTAGTTTGGCGCAAATTAATGAAAATTCATGAAAAAACATGTTGCATTTTTCCCTAAATTTGATTAAATACCTGAACGATGGCAAATCTGGCACATCTGCATTGATTTCTCGTCGCGGTACTTTCAGCACTGCGGCAAACTGTATTTGGCATTTGGCTCGTCGACTCCAGCGCGCTAGAATTTCGAACAGTTGTTTTGTCGGCGTCTAAAAATTACTCAGCAAGCAATTTTAAATAATAAGATAATCCCTAAGATATCATAATTTGTTGAATTCACTGGAAAGTGGAAGTAACGATATTCTCGTGAAAGTATGGGGTTCGATTCCGCGACTAGGATAATCAATTTCCCTAAGAGTAATGCATTCGTTTCTATGCTAAGCAGATTGCTGCATCCAAGTTGACCTGTTTTTCTAGTTGTGTTATTTTTCTAGCTCCCCTACCTATGTCATTGTCAAATATGCATTTCTCGATGAACGACCGCTCGCCGGAAATCCGTCCACTTCTTTCATGCAAAATTTACGGTAATCATGCGTATCAAATGATTAGCAATAGTGAGTTTCGAGCAAGATTTCATGCGGCCTCGCGGTTGCTGAAGATGCAACGGAAATCAGGGAGATAGAATATTGTAGGAAAGAAGGTAAGAGTGAGATAAGACGTTTCAGTTCACTAATTCATATATGTTTTAACTAAAAAGGGGGCTAATGCAGAACACAGAGGGTCAAAACAGACATCAATCTATTTATAATTTGTGAAAGAGAGAGGACTGACACTCCTGCCAAGCTGCTGCTGTTGTCATTTGCTACTACATGGCCTGCTTTCGAATGCTTTCGCTTTTCACTGAGAGTGTCTGGGGGAGGTTAATTGCAGCTTTTTAACCAATTATGACATGTAAGCCTTTAATATGGAGTTCCTGAAACACGAAAACTTTTGGGACTTTTCCTAGGCAAAGCTGTGCTGTCCACGAGGCCTCAAATATCTCCGCACAAACTTTGAAGAATCTTTATACTTCCTCCAGCAGGATGATCGTTACAGGAGACTGCAAAAAGGATCGAGGGCAATCGAACAAGCACAGAGAGTAAATCACTGAGAAATTCCTTCCACAAAACAATAAGTCAACTAATAAGTCGGTTCAAACAAAGATGCTGAAAGAACTGATACAACAGCAGGAAGCACCGAAATCTTTGCATTATTGAAACAATCTGAGTATTTTTGAGTGCAGATATGATAAACGATCGAAAGCTCAGAAGATTAAGAATCTGGCACTTTGCTGCACCAAGCTTACAACGCCTGCATCGATGACTTTTTCAACAAAGAAAACAAGCGCGGGGTGTGATTTTTTTGCAAAAAAGAGATGAAATTCCCAGCAGCAACCCATTCAACTGAGATCATAGAAAAGAAAGCTGGGGGAGAAATGAAGTTAAGTTTACCAAATCCGCATCACGTGCCCTTCGTTGCCATTCGACAGTCTCATCCGGAAACATATTCTGCGGCTTTACAACTCCTTTTGGTATTGAAAAACCCAGCCACAGTGATCCAGCCAGAACTGACTGCAAAAACTCTTCAATTTTTTATACACATATATTCC